TAGTCAGATTTGTGAGAGAATGAGAGCAAGTGACAGAAGAGTGTACTTATCCTGTGACTTGATTAAAAGAGAAAAAAAATGTCCATTAATACACTCCAGCAGTGTTTACTTGTAAAACGGTCCTGGGTACCCACAGGAATTTCAGTAGCTTCATCTGGCAGAACAAGAGTACCGATGGCGTCATGCCTTTCCTTAGCCTCTGTTTTACCTGCTTCTCCCCCTCTGAACCTGAAAGGCAACTAGCGACACTTTTAAAAACTAGATTAAAAAGAAAGTAATGGGACACCTGGCACGTCAAGGCAGCCCGGAGTGCTGCTGTCGTCACCGTGGGGCTGGCCGTGGTCTGAAACCCGGACCGAGCAACCATTCCCAATGAGTGCCCGACGTGCACAAGAACGGGGGCTGCCAAGGCACTTTGTTCTTGTTGTTTCCACATCCAGAGTCCCAACCAGATGGCTGCGGGCCAAGCTGAGTGCTCCATGGTCTCTTAAAGTCTATAAAACTGCATTTCCCTCCCATTAAGAGGAAAAGCACTTTCATGTTGCATTGCTGTAAAAGTATCGGAAAAGCTAATGTTTTCTCTCCCCTCTTTGCTTAATATACTGCGTAAAAAAATCCGCCTGGTCTCACTGAGACAGTATTTGAAAGGGATCAGTTAAAAAAATGTCCAAAAGCCCCCAAACCCTGTGGTTTAGCCAAGCAGGCTGGATGTCCTATTTATTCCAGCATCTCAAACACTGACCCTGCAACCCAAGGGAAAAAGATACTGCCCTTTTCTTTCGTCTGCTGGTACCTGCAAATTGATGCTTGACAAAAAGTATGAGGACGTGGGGAGGGAGAGAGGACAACGGTGCCGTCTCGTGGCAAACCGTCTCTCTCTGTGAGCTCTGAGCCAAGGTCTTCTTCATTCAACAGCTGGATGTTTGATTGACTTCCATAAAGTCCCATCTGATTTGCAAAAGTTTCGTGGCAGATCCTCGTGGCCAAACTGCCGGCTCAGCAGAGCCGCACCAGTTTCCAAGCGCCTTCCTGCTACTCTTTTTCATCCTGCATCACTCTGCTCTCCTGGGAAGGGGAAGCCTGGGCTTGTGGTCACTGCGCTGAGCTTGGAGGCGAGCGTCTGCCACAGGGTCACTGCCTGACCATGGGCAAGTCACCTCATTTCTCTGTCATTCAGTTTTCCACCTATAAAAGGGGGATAATAATAGTCCTGGGCTTTACAGGGGTGAACCGAGGATAACTTGCCTGCTCTTTAAGCAAGGGTAACTTGCTTAGAGGCTAACTTCAAAGTAAAGCTAATAAACACAAAAATACAAGTCACCCTAACAAAGCTCTGCCTGTGCTTTTATAGTGGCTTGGGAAAACCATTAGTATTTGTTACATTTTTCTGACACAGTTCTTTACTTTCGTGCTGCAGACCTTCATGCAAAACAGGTTCTGTGCTGCTACCTGCAGCAGTCGGCAAGGGAGAAAAGGTGAAATAGCTCTTCTGATTGGGGGTGTGTGTGGGGAAGAGCCACTTCTGGAGCTACATCTTGAGGTGACAATTGCCTGACATTGTTTCTAGGTAGCTCCCACCAAAAATTACAACATATGGATGAAAACAACAGCAGAGTTCCCCTCAGAAGGAACCTGCTGGTGCTGGTCTTTCCTCCCCGAATGCATTGACACGAGCGGGATTTCCACAAGCCCAAGGGATAAGGCAGATCTCGGGTTCAGCAGGACGACCTGGGGCAGCACAGGGCTGGGTAGGGTGGGGTCCGGGAGTTTTGCTTGGTGGATGCACGGTGGAGACATGCAGAGATACTCCCACCAGCTCGGAGGGAGCTGGCCTGGGAACGGGGTGCCCCGCAGTGACCTTGGGAGGGTGCTGTGCCTGGGTTAATTTGCCCTGCTTGCTGCCTGCAAGCTGGGTTGTTCAGAGCAAGCTTGGGTTTGTCTGCCCTGCCCGGCAGCGTGCCAGCTTGACACAAATTTAGTGCCTGAGCTAGATTCAGAGGGGAAAGTTAATTCTCGCCTCACCTGCCTTAATGCAGCCCTTGTACTGTTGGCTTCAGAGGAACCGCTCACCTCCGTGCGAGGCTGCTAGCACACCGGCTTGCGCTGCTGGGCCGCTTGGTTTCGTGCCAGGCAGGCAAAACTCCGGATGCCGGGAGGGCAGCACCGGGGAGGTAGGAGGAGAAAGTAGGGTAGCAGGAGGTCAAACTTGGCATTGGTGCACTCACTTAAAAGCAGAAGATGTCTGAGCAGAATTGGAAATTAGGAATAAATTACAGCGGGGGGATGGATTTGGAAGGACCTGGCTCTTGGCTCTGCAAGTCCTGGGTTCAGCCTGCTGAAGCTTAAAATAGTCCAAATGTATGAGGTATTTTGCACATCTTGTATGACTCCGCGTGTTTGCGTTCAAGTCCAGTGTTAGAAGCCCAAGGCTTGAGGCAGCATCCAGCTTTGCACTGCTGACAAATGAAGCATTTGCTCTTGACCAGCCAGAATGTCAGATAAAAGTCTTTTTCATTTTTCTTCTCTTCTGTCCTCCTTTTTTTTTTTTTTTTTGAAGCCTTAATGGGACTCTTTAATGATGAAACTGCTACTATATAATATGTCTTTTTATATTTTAATTTTTTTTCCCCCCCTGTTGGGATAATTTACAGCACAGTGTGGAATCTGAGACAGTTCAAGCTGTGCCAAAGGGCCTGGCAACAGGAAGAAATGCCGAGCCACTGCGATTTGGAACCATAATACAAGTTATAAAATTTAATTTTAGAAATGCAGCTACTGGGAACTGCTTTTAAATGCACATTTTCCTTTTAGTGCATAAAATGGTCCTGTGTCTTGATTGAGCTGTTAGGGTGGCTTGAAAGAGTGCTCTGTAGAGTAAAGGGCATACAGAGCTCTTCAGAGATCTTTTGCTGCTTATTCACTGATACTCAAAATTGGAAGCTGGATGTTTATGAGTGTTTATGTATTAAATACTACGGGGATGTGTGGAATAGGGCACGGTGGATTATTTTCAGGAGTTTTGTGCTAGTCTGTTTCACTGCTGTAGCCGTGAGTTGAGAGAGGACTCACCATAGGAACAGCACTGGCCACCTCCTTGCAGGGAGGATGGAGGCGCAAAGAAAGCTGCAGAAGGCAACTCTTCATGACGAAAAAATGAAAATCAGGAGCAGATAGACAGCAAACTATGGTGTTCAGCAGAAACCAAGGATAACGCCACCTTCTTCAAGAGAACAAGTAGAAAAAAAAGATGTTTGACCTCTGGGCTAGAGATTTGACATGTATTCCCGTCAGGGTAACAGTGCCCTATACGAAGAAAGGGGAAGGGATAAGCCAGAAAGATTCACGAGGCAGCTGATTTCTTGAGACAAATGCAAAGTGCAAAAATGGGATTGGGTTTGGGGGATCCTTTTGGGGGACGATGACATTCACTGCTCCACAAGAAGGTCCCCAAGCAGAAGGTATCAAAATTACATTTTTGGAGCTGGGGATCCTACTCCATTGACTAAATACAGGTGGGTTGAGGATATTTCCTCATGGACTCATTGCAGTGAGTATCTTGCCCTCCATTTGGAAAGAGCATCTTTGAAAGGACAACTTGTGTGCCAGAGTCTGCTTTTGGGCTTTTGCTGAAGGGCTGTTTTCTGCGATCTTTCAGAAGAAAAAGCCCTATTGGGGGATGGGGAAAAATTACAAAGGAAAGTTTTGATTCCACCTGGTTGGGAGCGTTGCTGAACCATCCCATTTCAGACATTTCACCAAATGCAAGTCTGCTAGGGAGGTTTCCATTTCAGCCCCAAAGCGTAGTGTCAGCAGCCTTCCAGGATAAGATCCCCCACTTTTGAAGGATATCTCATAGGTCTGGAAACCAGTGGCCACAAAAGTGGTTCGCAAAGTCGTGGCAATAGGTTAACTCTTAAGAGGGTAGAAAGAGGATTTAAAATTTGTGCTTTTGTCCTGCCTGCCGGAGGAGCAAGTGCTCCAGCAGACAACATGCCCCTCTTGTATACCCTGTGTGCAGTCTTTGTGGTTGCCAGTTGACACACAAAGGATCCCAGAGCAGAGAGCAGCCACAGGCAACAGTTAGAAATGCATTACCTTTACCTTAGTCCTTGCATACTGCACGTTGCTGCTAGCTAAGGCTTATCTTGAAACCAGTCCTGTCTGTGATGACATACGTCTGTGCCCTTCCAGCTGAATCTGGATGTGCCTCGATGCTGCACTGGAGCTGGGCCTCTCCAGCACCTTCCCTGTCCCCTCCCAGCCCTGCGGGGCCACAGCACTCAAGCTTCATGGGGACTGATCTCCAAGGGCTGCCCTGGGGAGTGCTGCCCAAGTCCGCTACGCGCTGGCCGATGCTGTAATGTCAGCATCTACTCTCTTATAGTTGGATGTCTGGTGGGACCTCATGTTTTTGAAGCTCCCGATGCCACTAAGAGAGACTTCATTACTCCAGTTGCAATACTGCCAGCTTCTGGTGTTTCTTTCCTATTTCTGTATGTAAATCCATTGGTAAAGGATCCAAAAATGGGGTTTTTTGAGTTTGTTATTTTATAACTCCATAGTACTTGTCTAATTACAGTACCTTATGACAATCTGGGATTGCATTTTTCGTGAGTTACTCCAGTGCAGGTTTAGCACAGGGGCCACTAGAAGTTCCTCCTTTTATTCACCCTTGCAGACCATCCTCCTTCTAAAAACGCCTCCTCTCTCAGTGCGAGGTGTAAGAAGGCACTGCAATTTTCAGTGGATCTGGTCCTTTAGACTAGGCCATGTCTCGGGCTGCCCAGCAATACGGTTACAATGCACGACTTGCTTGTGTCTCCTGTTCCTGCAGAGAGGTGGTTTCAGTTTCATTTCAGATGGCCGCTAGCTGGTTAGGTACTTTGCCAGTGGATGAGGGGTTAAAAAAAAAAGAAAAAACTTTTAAAAAAGAAAATAAATCAACAGACCTCATGTATCAGTGAGATTTTCTGATCTTTTTCCCCCCCCTCCCACAATAGGACATCGTCAGAAAATAGATGAGCAGACAAAGCCCGGGAGCTTGTCCTTTTCAGAGCGCCTGAGTGAACTGGAGCAGTTGCGTCGTACGGCCATGAGGGTCAGCCCACACCACCCAGCCCCCACACCCAACCCACGAGCCTCCTTGAACCACACCACTGCTTTTAACCCTCAGCCTCAGAGTCAGATTCAGGGTAAGTACCTGAAATCCTCCCCCCGCTCGCCCACCTCCACCCCACCAGCCTGGGGAGCGCGGGGGCTCACAGGCGCTGCCCCCTCATCCTTCCATCTCTTCTGGACTCTCCTTGGCCGCCTTTAACGAGTGAGAGCCTTCAATGAGTGAAAGGAGGGGCTTCCTAACATATGTCTGTATTTCTAAAGACCTGACAGATTTTAAGGGGTCTGTACTGTCTCATCTTCCCGGTGTCAGTACAGCTCATGGTGTTTGTTAACCTCACCTGTGCTAGAACCGTAACGCCTTGAAAGTTGTTGTTTTCTTGCAAAGATGCATTATGCCAGGCCTTTTTCTATGTGTAGGTATCTTTCCCGATGGATATTTATCAATTACATTGGGTGCTTGAATGAGAGAGAAATGCCGTCAACGCCTTGCTTTGACATTTCCCAGGAAGGCAGTAGCAAAGAAAGCTTTGCAAAGTGCTTTGTCCCCTGAAGTCGACCTCTTAGTGCTAAGACGTTAATATGGGCAGGTTGGTTTGAGCGTATTTCTGTGGCCGGTGGTTATCCAGTGGGTTTTATTTGAATGAAAACCTGCAAAACGGTGACTCAGGAGTCTGATTTCTTCTGAGGCTCAGGCTCGGATGATGCCAATGAAACCAAGTCATGTAGCTTGACATTTTGTCTGCCACTGCCAGAGCCGAGTCTGTCCCTGCTAAAACCATTTCTGTCCCTGGGATCGGCTGGAACTCGGTGAGCAGTGAATCAGGTCACTAAACCGTCAGCTGATAAGTGTTCTGCAAAACATGTATCAAAATGCAGATTCATAGTGAGATGCACTTAAAGGGAGGGTGTGGGACAGTATTAGTTTTAGTGAGCACTGTTCCTAATGGAGTTTTCCTCTATTCTTCCAGCCAGAATGAAATGGCCTTAGTCGATGTTCTCTGCTGGGGTTTTGGGGAGAAACAGTTACCACAAATTGGAATAAGTTCTTTTTTCGGCATTTATTTTTAAAACCAGGGTACTCTTTGTTGCATGCAGAAAAGGTTATCGCTTACCTAAAGCGAAAGCTTGTTTCATCCTTTTATTCCCAGGGCTAGGAAGGTCTTTGACTTAGTGAAATCTACTGCAAATCTGCCATTGACTTCGCTGTGAGCAGAAGCGGGCATTTTTGAGAAGCATGGGAAATAAATCAACACATTGCCACGGGCCGTACTGTAGAAAGAGGTGGGCAAAAAGACAGTTGGAAGGACCACACAGCTCCTTCCCTCCCTGGAGCCACGCCAGGTCAAGCGAAGGATGCAGTCCTGCATCTCTCCCAGGCCCTGGCAGTCCCCTCACGTAGTTTTCTGATTTGCAGAGCATACCATGTTGGGTTTCTCCTGCGCACAGCTCCGTTCCTATAAAAGAAAATGCACATATTATTATGGCTACTCAGGAGCCAGCGGCTACGTGGGTGGACGTATCGGTTGCAGACTTGCATTCTTCAGCTTCTTGGGAACACTATATGCTTAGCAGGGTATCGGGTTTAACGTCAAGTATCCCTCTTTCCTGGTTCCCTGTGAAAGTCCCTCGCTTGTACGACTTCAGAGCAATAGGCTTTTCACGCTCGGCCGGGGATCCAGCTACTCTCTCCAGAAATACTTTTAGTACGTTGCGCTGCTTTGCTCTTTACAAACAAGATTTTAATGCATTTCATCTGTGGATGTAGCTCAGAAAATTGTAGCAATCGAATTGCTAACGTGTCCTCATTGGTACCCTCCTCTTCACCTCTTGGGCTGCTTTCTCCCAGTTCCCCTTTTCCTCTGCCCCTGAAGTGTGTGCGTTATCCATTGAGCAACTTGTTCAGGCTTGCAGTCGCTATCAGTAAAATAAGCCCCAAACCGAAGCCTCCCTCATTTGGGACTGTCTCTGCTGCAGACGCCTTTTAATTTCTAGGACTCATCTTTTCAGGGTCACGCTATCACAGCAGGGGAAAAAGGCTAGGGTGGGAAGGAGCTCCAGAACCATAATTTTTTGCTGTGTTCAAAGGATGACTGGTTTTCAGGCTGATCTTCTGTGTGACCCCTAGGGAGTCGGGATATTTTCTTTTTTTTATTTTTAATAAACAGCGCTACATTTCAGAATGCAGGCCCCCAAAAATGAAACCCTTCTGACCTGCTCCATACCATTACTACACCTATCCGCACATCTTTGCATCCTGAAACACTTCTATTGAAACTCTCTCGCTGAAGAGACCACAGAGTGCTTTTTATATAGGCATAAAATAAGGCATAAAAATCCCATGCATTGCTAACTTCCAAGTAGTAGCATTAAACTTTGCTTTAACTCACACCAGTATGAATCACAGGCTACTCCTCTATTCATCCAAGTCCAATTATCTTTTTTAAAAAAAAAAAACTAGCTCAAAATAGACATCTCAGACTAGTTCTTGGATTTAAAGGGGCAGGTTGCCATGCCACTAAACCACTGTTTATTTGTTGAGGTTTTCATCTATAAAATGATTGAAGATTAATTTTAACTTCCTATTTTACCAAGTCCTGAATTTGAGCATAAAGCTGCTTGTGTCATGGATACAAGTGCAAGCAAGTTAAGAGACCATAAATTGCTATAATCGAGTTTTATGCTTCTTTCATATCACAAGGAGGGAGAAAGTACACCTGTTCATTTAAAAGGTCTAACCATAGCCAATTCACAGACCAAAGGGGAACAGAAGGGGAGAAAAAGCTTCCACCACATCACACATGGTTTAAGTTGAAAGATTACTTTGTGCCAGTACCAAGCGTATAATGTCAAAGGATTTGACCTACACGCAGAGAGTAAGGAAATTCAGTTAAAGCCCCAAACCCGGCCAACGCTTCAACCTTAACTCACCTCTTCCTTTGTACAGAGGGGAAAAGAAAATAGACAGAGCCATGTGAGCTGTGCTGGGGTGTTGTTAAAAAAGTTTAAGTAAGACCCTTGATAAGCGTTTAAATTTAGATATATAATAACTATATCTATCTATATATTATGGTTGAGTTTCTTCTAGCACCAGCCTGAACCAGATACTAAATACATAATTACTGATCTTACAGTGATTAATGTTAACCAGAGTAGGTAGATCTGTAATTCAAGAGTTTTACATAAATATGAATTTATATGATTCCTTTACAATATCGTTTTTTTCAGGTCCAATAGAAATATTTTAAATGTGTAAGTCATCAGGCCAAGAAGGTATTCTTTTGGAGGCACTAATGTTGAGTTAATTGCATAAATAAATTTCTACCTAGTGAGGTTAGGAATATCATCCAAAAACATGTGCAATTAAATAACTTCAATTTTTTTTTCCAAATTAGCCCAAACAACGTTTCTAACTGGTGATTTATTAATTACCCATAGGTTAAATAAATAAATAAAATAAAGCTATTTCTTCTGTCTAAGGAAAACAAATAATCATTGTAATCACTTTCAGCTACATGCTTCTGGTTCTTTTTATGCTTTTATAGCCTTAAAAATACCTGAGTTTGCTCGCTTGCTTTTTTTCTTTCCTTTCTTTTTTAATTTTGTAACCTTATATGTTAAGTTTCAGCTGGGACCATGCTTTTATGACCAAGTCAAAAATCCCTGGAAACAAGAGGCTGTAATAAAATTGCTGACAGATCTTTAAGCGAAGCAGCAGAATTAGCACCGATAGCAAAGCAAGAGAGATCATTTAAAGATCAGCTCTTTGAATTAGCACGAAACATAACGACTGAGAGATTATTTTGTTACAAGCCAGCCTTTTGTCTTCCTCCAGGTGCAATACGCTTTGTTTAAGAGACATTTCAAGGTCCTTGCTATCGTAATCTTGTTCCACCAAAAACAGCCCAAGTTTATCAGGGTTCCCATGAACCGGTGAAACACAGGAGTGGAGTCAAGGGCGGCGTTTAAGCCCAGGGAATTAAAATGGCTTTGTTCCTACTACGGCTGTATCCTGCCCCAATTTTTAATATTTCCACTTTTAAATCAGCTTAATAGGCCGTAGGTTAATAGAGTTAGAAGCAGTCACAGAGCAGCGTTTCAGAGCGGGCTTCGACGGGGTTGTCATTCTGCCTCCGCGTTTTGCTGCTGCAAAAAGCAGTTTTCAGGCGCTTTTGAGAATCTGGATTGACGTGCTCGTAGCTCCCTGCCAAAACAGATGAACAGGCTCTCAAGATTAGGGGCTCGCCAACTCTTCCTGTTGTGCAATATGCTAAATGCCGATATTTTTACGTTCTCTTTGGACACATCTGTGTCTCCCCGTCTTTCCTTAAACCGGCGCCCTTGCACAGCGAGTACATGGCGCTTTAACGGCGTATCATCCCGTTTCCACTTGATTAACCACCTGACCTCTCCATCCCAAAATACACTCCCCGGCATGTCGAGCGAGTGCCGCCTGAGCTTGGCACCCTTCCTATCAGCACCGCTCCTGCCTCCCCCCAGCCGGCGGAGTAGCGGGGGGTGAGTCGTGCTGGTGGGCAGCGCGGGCAGCGCAGGAGCTGGCAGCGGGCATGTCATTTCCAATCAGCACAGCCGGGGCTGCCAAGCTCCCCAGCTCCGGTGCTTCTCCTGGATTTCCCGGAATATACTTTCCCCACCACGAGCCAGGTCGTGCACATTTTGCTAGCGGCCAGGGGAGATCCCCTTTGATGGAGCTCCCCTCCATCGCCCATCTCCTGGGACGGGCTGCCAACGTGCTGAATGTGTGCCGGGAGCTCGCTTCGGGCGAGGGGGAGCGATGCTCTCTCTCCTTTCCCCTCCTTTCAATGCCAGTAGCCACCAAATAGCTCCTGGGTGGGGAAAAGGAAGGAGGTAAAGCCACCTCGGTGGCGTGGACCCAGAGCTCGAGTGCCACAGCCACCAGGAGGTCACAGGAAGTTTGTTGAAATAGTGATGTTTTCCCAAAATATTTTGCAAACCAAATCTGTTTACCTGGAAGGGTTCCAACTGGCTCTATCAGAAAGGAAATTTTATATAGAGAAAATATCTTTTTACTGGAAGTACAATATGTATCTTTGAT